ACAACCGATAGAATTAAGTTTACAAAAATTGCAGGACACTTCATCATCTTCGAAGGCAACAGCAATGCAACAACATTTTTATCAATTGTAGAAAATCTTGTTTTTTTTGAAACACTTTAAAAAGCAGACAGAAAATTATTATCTTCGAAAATATTACCTAGCATATATAATCAAATTTGTGAGAAAGTTAAAATAATATAAAAGTTGATCATGTCGCTATGTGGACTTCTGGCAGCAATAAAGCATTTTTATCAGTAACTAGTCACTTTTTTTTATAACGACTTAATACATAAAACTGTTTTGGCAACGAAGGAAACACCGGAAGCCCATACAGGTATAAACATTGTCTCTGCTCTTCCAGTGGTTTTCAATGCTTGGAAAATTCAGGATAAAATAATTACCATTGTTACTGACAACGGTGCTAATATAAAAAATGCAATAAATGATAAACTTAAGAGAAGACATCATCCGTGTATTGCGCATACTTTAAATCTGTGCAACAGGTGCCATAAACTCAACCGAGTCCAATTGAATTTTGGATGCGCCACAAAAATGTACTGCCAGAAATTTACGAACTTCCTTCAGAACGAGTGTTTTCCAAAGCTATTATTAAACTAAGTATTCACTATAATAGTCCATTTCAGTGATGGAACGGATAGTGATTTTGCGAAAAGCCGGATACCGGATATTCGGCATCCCTTTCGGCCGGATATCCGGTTATCCGGCATATCTATCCCCGGCCATTACGGTTATAACTTCTGGTGCATTTTTGAAGTGCATTTCGATCATTTCAAAAAGTCATTTCTCAAGAACTGAAAGTGATTTTTCAAAACGGCATATTGCATTAAAAAGAGGATACTTTAATTAATAATTGGTGATATTTCCACAAGGATCCTTTAAGAAATTAATTTTATAGCGAATTTTGCAAGTTATCGATGAAAATTGCAACATTGAAAGTTTTATCAAAACTTCAAATATTGTTTTCTCAAAAACTAAAAGTTATTTTTCAAAACGGATTGGGTTGGTTCATTGGAAAGAGGACACTCTTATTAACACGTTGGGAAATTTTCAAACTCATATTCCAAGAACTGGATTTTATACGAATTTTTAAAACTTAATCGGCGAAAATTGCAAAATTCGAAACAAATTTCAAAAATTTATTTCTCAAAAACTAAAAG